AGCTTAAACAAAGCCAACCAACAATATTAATAACATGCTGGCAAAGAGTCAATATCCTTCATAGAAAAAGAGCTCTTTCCAGATACCAGTCCAAAAGAGAGAGAAAAGACAATATAGCCCTGGCCAGTTGCTCAGTGGTTAGAGCATAAGCCTGCAGGCGAAAGGGTCAAGGGTTCGATTTCCCGTCAAGAGCACATACCTCGGTTGTAGGTTCGACCCCCACCCCCAGTTGGGAACATGCAGGAGGCAACCATTTGATCTCTCTCTCTCTCTCTCTCCCCCTCCTCCCTCCCTTCCACTCTCTGAAAAAAAATTAAAAAACACAAAAATCAATGGAAAAAATATCCTTGGGTGAGGATTAAAAAAAAAGACAATTTAGACAATAAAGATACAAGGTAGGCAATTTGTCCAATGTATAGTGTCAGAATGGATATCAAAAATATTCAGCATAATTTACTTTCATGAATTACGGATGAAAACACTGAATTTGTATATATCACATTTGCAAAGAATTACCACCACCACCACCACCAAAAAAAAAATCCCCAGCGTGGGGAAGAGAGCAGACTGCTGGGACTGTAAATAGGACAACCTTTCAAGAAAGCAATTGGCAGTACACATCAGAGGCCTTTAAAAAATCTATAAGGCCTTTCATTTAAAAATCCCACTTGTAGCCGAAACCGGTTTGGCTCAGTGGATAGAGCGTCGGCTTGCGGACTGAAAGGTCCCAGGTTCGATTCCGGTCAAGGGCATGTACCTGGGTTGCGGGCACATCCCCAGTAGGAGATGTGCAGGAGGCAGCTGATCAATGTTTCTCTCTCATTGATGTTTCTAACTCTCTATCTCTCTCCCTTCCTCTCTGTAAAAAATCAATAAAATATATTTTAAAAAAAAAAAAAAAAAATCCCACTTGTAGGAATTTATGCCCAGGAAATTATCCCAGAGCACCCAGCAAAGACTGAGCTTCTCTTGAGCAGTTGGTGGATTTCTGGTTTTTTGGTTATTTCTTTCATATTTGCATACTTGGAATTTCATTACAGACCATGATTCTTTCTTTGCTTCAGCCCCTAGAAAACCCAGAGCTATATTTGTAACCACTTCAGTGATTTTGCAGAACTGACCATTTCTGTGCGTGTCCTTGACCCTGGCTTCGTTTCCTCTTCCTTTCTTGTGTTCCCTTCAGGGGGATATTTTCATCTGTTTTTATTAGATTATATCATGCAGTTTTTAAGACACCTCAGATCCCTTTTGGAAAAAAAGATGGAGTAGATTTAAACGCATAGGATCCTATTTCTCAAGCTCCAGCTAGCCACTGGGACTGAGCTCAGTGGGAAATGAGAAACCAGAGGGTGGCCCAGTGCTGCCCTTGAGTGGACGAGATGAGCCTTACATTGGGAAATTACCAAAGAGCAGAGAGTACAATGATGTAAAAAGTGTTGATCAAATAAGTGCCATTTTGTACGGCAGCTTGGAAGGAATGAGACTTTTCAGAGACGCATCCATTCCGCACAGTCTCTTAAGGCCCTGGCAGGGTGGGGATGAGAAGTGCATGGGTGGCCCTGCCCCAGAGCGTGGAGCTGGGCGCTGGGCCTCACTGAGCCACTCTGCTGGGCTTGGAGGCCTCCCCACATTTCCAGTCATGAGCCATCAGGGGGCAGGATCTCTCTGTCCACCATCGGGAGTTCAGTTGCCCTTTCCTAGGCCTGGGGTCCAGCATGACGCAGGCATCCCTGGTGGTCAGTGCCAAGGCCGTGGGGTCACCGGAAGTGAAGACGGTACCTAAGGGTCATCTATATGTAATGCACAGCCTGTTTGCGGCTGGCAGTCTGCCCTCCCTGTGCTCTGAGATGCTGCTGAGGACCCTTTGGGGGGGTTGTGTGGCGGGGGGGGGGGGCGTGCATAGGCACAGAAGAGTAATCTCATAAGAGAGATCATGAGCTCTTCAAGAATCCAACACGAGCCCTAGCCGGTTTGGCTCAGTGGATAGAGCATCGGCCTGCAGACTGGAAAGGTCCTGGGTTCGATTCCAGTCAAAGGCACATGCCCGGGTTACGGGCTCAATCCCCAATAGGAGGCGTGCAGGAGGCAGCTGATCAATGATTCTCTCTCATCATTGTTGTTTCTCTCTCTCTCTCTCCCTCTCCCTTCCTCTCTGAAATCAATTTAAAAAAAAAAAAAAGAATCCAACACGAGTTTTGGACACACCACTAAGGCTGGAGAGTGCCCTTCTGTGGGCCGTTGGCAGGACACACAAATATTTAAGTAGATTAAAAAATGAAATAGACTATTTTCTGTCTGTCTTCAGAAAGCAGAGAAGGGAACTCTCCTTTCAGATGCTCCAGCAGTCGACATGCAGATATTACAGATGGAGGAGCCTCGGTTGTTAGGTGTGGCCAAGACAGCCAGAAAGTGGGTGACCACAACTGAGGAGGAAGAGAATGGAGACTTTTCAGAGACGCATCCATTCCGCACAGTCTCTTAAGGCCCCGGCAGTGTGGGGATGAGAAGTGCATTTGTGGTCCCTGACTTCAAGGAGCCCTCCTTTTAGGATCTGAAGGCTGATCTGCAGAGGCTCTGTGCCCAGGCAGTGGCGGCCGGCCAGCCACGCCACAGGGAGAGAATGTGGGATTCATGAGGAGCCCCGTTCCGGCCAGGGAGCCTGCACTGCCGCCCAACCCTGCACCTGGCCCGCCCCACTGCTCCTCGGCTGCTGGCTCCATGGCCCACACTCCTCTGCCATCTGTTCTAGTCTCTCTTCAGCGTGGACCTGTCTGCTTTCCCAGCTCCCCACCTCCTGCTTCCTTGCCCTCGAGGCTATAGTTTTTGGCACAGTGTTTTGTGCCGATGGCTCCTTGATCACTGATCTCTGGGACTCATTCCTGCAAGCAGCCTGTCAGACATGGTCTACTGACCTTGATCTGCCTGCCTCTGGCCTTATCAAACCAGAGATGCACTAAAGCGCAGTGAAATATGAGTATAGAAGAGCAACACAACATCCTTATCAAGGTGGCATTTAATGAAGGGCCATAGGATGGAGGAATCCGAGTTCAGAGGAGACTTGCTTGGAACTGTTGAACCAGGAAGGCTTCCTGGAGGAGGTGGCTATGGAGCAGGGTCTTACAGAATGTATGTGGTTTAGATAAGAGGTTTGGGACATTTCAGGGCAATGGCCAGAGCAGGTTGCCCATGGTGTACTAGAAGGAGAGTGGGCAATAGACTGATGTTGCCATATTGTATAGAGCTTTGAACGCTATGTCGAGATCCATGGATTTGACCCTTTGGACTTTTAGAGCCTTTTGAAAAAATTTTAAAATATATTTTTATTGATTTCAGAGAGGAAGGGATAGGAAGAGAGAGATAGAAACATCAATCATGAGAGAGAATCATGGATTGGCTGCCTCCTGCATGCCCCCTACTGGGGATCGAGCCTGCAACCCAGGCATATGCCCTGACCAGGAATCGAACCGGTGACCTCTTAGTTCATGGGTTGATGCTCAACCACTGAGCCACACCGCCTGGGCCTTTTGAAATTTAAAAAAAAAAATATTTTATTGATTTTTTACAGAGAGGAAGGAAGAGAGATAGAGAGTTAGAAACATCGATGAGAGAGAAACATCGATCAGCTGCCTCCTGCACACCCCCTACTAGGGATATGCCCGCAACCAAGGTACATGCCCTTGACTGGAATCGAACCCAGGACCCTTCAGTCCGCAGGTCGACGCTCTATCCACTGAGCCAAACTGGTTAGGGCTGAAATTTTTGATTAAGGAGAGA